GGAAAGGGTGGTCCTAGGTTAGTTGAGCTAATTAAAATTTCAAAAGATAGATGAAAAGGAAAAGGAAAAGATAGGAATATAGATTTAGGTTTCAATAGCTCTTCTTATTTATTTATTTACTTTCCTTAAAGGTTTGAGAAAGATTTAAAGTTGTTTTCAAGTCTTGGGATGTCAGGGATGTCAATCTTAATTTCATCTTCTTACCTCACAATTGGTTTTTCCTATCTCCCCATAAGTATACCTTGATCTGCCAAAAAGAGACTATACCATGTTCTCAGTTTAAGCCTAAAGATTAAATTCTAAAGTTCTAAGCAGTTTTAAGTTGTCTTCTGTTATTCTGATTTAGAAAGATGTCCCAGTGCTAACCTCTGGGCATCCATATTGTTTTTCTAGTAGAGTTAAGAATTTTTCTTCTACTTTTCTCTGATACTACCCCTTTATGGTCACAAGTATATTGTGAAGTACTCAGTCTTTCTGGGCCCARGTAACTCCTGTGTGTTCTCATTCATTTAACAGAAATTCTGCCTGAGTTCTCACTCCAATTCTTATTCTAAGAATCTGCTTAGTAATTCTGTCTTTTCCTAAAACCATGTCCATTTGCTTTTGCCAATCCTTCCAATTCAAAGGAAAGATATGAGGGGCTGTAATACATAGTAAGGATCTATCAGTCTTGTTGGTGCTATTGGTCTGTTCTCCTGGATTTCTGTGTTGCTCCCCTTMGATATCTGGTTGAGGATAATACCATTCTATTTGTTGGACTTTTGGTGATTAGTGTACTAGGTATTATTTTACCCTTGGATATCATAGTAGTCATTAGAACTATTCACAAGTATCCAGGTGCTCCACCTAGTATCATGGCATAGTTGCCATGTGACTTTAATGACCAATAAAATGTGAATGGAAGTAAGGACATTATTTTCTAGGTGGAAACTTTTTAATGGCTAGAGCAAGATGATGCAGCCCTAGGATTTAACTTTTATGATTTATAGTGTGACAATTCTAGAAAGCATATATTCCAGTGAAGCCTCTATMAATCTGGGAATCTCAGTAATTACAATGAGCAGGGTCCCTGCAGTGGATATTATGCTGAGCTCCCTAGATCCACCCTTTAGATATGAAGCAATTTTTTTTTCTCCAAATACTGGAAATGTTGGTGGCTAAAAGCTGAGTCCTTCTCTGAGATTGTTCTTGGCTAAGGTTAACTTCCTTCCCTGGGTGCAACCCCTAGCCAGTAACTGGCTGCTGAAAGGGCATAAAGACCTAACCCCCTGACTCAATGAAGGACAATGCTGAAATTGGGTGAAGGATCATTTGCAATTGTATTATAGTTCAACTTCTCCCTCTACTCAATCTTGCCTCCTCAGTCCCCAAGGAGCATTACTCAATAACCTCCTGCATACAAATTTCACAGTTTTAGGGCTTGTTTCCTAGTGAACTCCATTCATGATAGGTTCCTTGATGACTTGTATCAAATATGTAATCTGTGAGAAATAAATCTTTGTTGCAATAAGCTGTTTGTTGAAATTTCAGGGATGTTGTTACAATCTACATATCCTGATTCAGTATAGATGCCAGACCTCACTGGAAGTATGGGTCTTTTGTTCTCACCTAAGCTTGACTTGTATTGTCTGTATATGTAGTGGCTAAGTCATTGCCAAGTTCTGATTCTTTGATGTTTTTTTTCTCACTGTAGTGAATAACTATGTCCCAACCGAGATATTACAAAGACAACAAAAAGGAAAGGGTTTAATATCTAGTTGTTTACTAATTATTCCTACCAAGTTAGTGTCATGTATTTCTTCATGTGAATTTCCTAAGACCATTTTTCTCTTTTTTATATAATTTACCCTATATATGTATAAGTTAATGTATAAGTTATATAGTTAATGTAATGTATAAGTTATATAGTTAATGTTTCTTAGGAAAATTTTGTGCAAACAAAAATAGAATAGGGCTGGAATGTAACTCAGTGTTACAGTGGGATGTAGCTCAGGGTTAGAGTGCTTACCTGTCAGCATGAGGCCCTAGTTTGCATGGAGCCAGGAGTTCCATCCCCAAGCAAATAAATACTTAAGTTCTTGATCCCAATTTGAAGGAAAACAATATACTACCAATTAATAAACTTTCTGCCCTTCTAACATACTGAAATCCTGTTTTCCTGAGTGTTAGATATAATTTCTTGAAAGCCAAATGTTAAAGTAATACCAGCTTCTTATTTTAGACATTTTAGGCAAAATAAAATATAGTAAATAAAATTAATGAATCAAAGCATATGCTCCTCTCTTTTTAAAAAGGGATTTTACTATATAGAAAAACTTCTCTTTGCCTGAAGGGTAAACAGTATAAAAATATTTCAACTAAAAAGAGCCTTAGAGTTCTGCGCAAGTATWACTACAACCCCTAATTATAGCTGATATATATGATAACAGAAACCAGTTTAAGGAATGTGGAGATTTATTTACATCAAGTTCAGATAAAGAGATTAAAGAAGACTTGAACAAGCAAGCAGAGAGTGTGATTTTCGGAGTGCACTTATGAAGACCTCTTTGGAACTGCCCCTAGCTATAAGGAAAGACCAGCAAAACCAGCCTTCAGAATAACCCTTCTGCCTACTAAGAGAAGGGACAACTAGACTTCACCTCTTAAGATCGCCCTCCCACATAATTTTTCCACCTTGCAGCTAAGAATTAAACCCAGACTTCCGATCATGGCGCCAGACACATCACCTTCTCCCCTCTCCTCCAGCAAAATCCCACCCAAGTTGGCTGACCCTGCAGGGTAAAAATAAGGTTGGATGGAACTCCCTCCCCTATCCTGGTGCTTGAGTCAAACCAAATTTGCAAATAGGAAAACAACAAAACAAAACAAAACAAAACAAAACAAAACAACAACAAAAAAACCTAAACAGACTAAGGAACTGTGGTACCAACAGAACCTTCTAAATTCCAAGGGTGTGAGGGCTTGATCTCACTCTCTACCCAGAGGCATTAACTCTATTGCAATTTTCCTTCCATATGCCCTAAAAAGCCCCTACCCCCAGTCTTTGTGAATAAAAGCCCTCCCTCGGAGATGTGGAAACCGCGTTGCACAGACAGACGTGCACGTACGGCAAGACGTTGTGCTGAATTTTCAGTTTTCTTTTTAGCTTCGCATCCTMGCAAATGCTCAATTATTCCTGTCAGCTAAAAAGGACTAAGGCGGAAAGGTGCCTGAGGAAAACGCGGCGCCGATTARAGCAAACACATCAGTATTAGGGGTGATCTTTCCAATTCGGGCTTTTGTTTGAGCAGTAAAAGGAGACCAAGGAGGCCAGGGTCTCGGTTCTGGGAAAGGCAGGTCCGTCCGGATTCTTTGGGTTACGAAGAAAGAGGCTCTGGCTGCATGAAACAACGGGGGTAATTCTGCCCCTGAGGCTTTTCTCCAGGGGACTTGGGGCGACAGCGACGCCTCAGTCCAGCTAAATGTAGGAAGAGTTAGCCGAATGCTGGACAAAAAGATGTAGTTTACGTACACACACAACTGTCTAACCATCCGCGTACGGCCTGTGTGTGAGGCAGAAGGGCCACTGCTGCCCGCGCGGGTTGCCAGCCCCACCCTGCCTTCGGCGGCTCGGGCGAGAGACGCTGCGCGAGGCTTCGGATCTCGGGCCAGCCCGGGAGCCAGGGGCGGGGCCGGGCGGGGCCGCGAGCGCGCAGGCGCAGTGCGGCTTCGTCTCGCCGCCACCGCCGCCGCCCGCGTTGCACCACAGGCCCGAGACAGACTGGGCCGGGAAGAGCTGGAGACTGAGAAGGAGGCGGTGGCGGAGGCGGGGCGACTCCGGTGACCGGGAGCGCCGCAGACTGGCAGCTGCGGCGACTCCCCCCTTTGTGTCTGGTCTGCTCCAAGCCACTGGAAGTGCTTCCCGGAGGGGCACGGGGTGTCTCGCCGGCTTGCTGCCCACCCTTTTTCCCAGCAACCTACATCCGTCCTCCCGCCGCCCCCCGCCCTCGGCCCGCGACGCCCGAGCTCCGCCCGGAGCCCAGAGCTGCGGGAGAACGAGGCGGCGGCGGCGGCGGCGGCGGCGGCGACAGCAACAGCAGCAGCTTCTTTCTCGGGAGCTTGTGATTCGTTCACAGGAGCCATTGATGGGCGAAGACGAAGCTTTCATGGTGGAATTCACGTCAGGCAAGAACGAGGGTCAGGAATAGCCTCGAGCGAGAGAGAAGGCGCGCGTTCGGCAGGGAGAGAAGGGGCAGCTTTCCGTACCTCACCGCGACGCGCCGCCTCGGAGCTCGGGCCCTGCCTGCCGCCCCCCCTTCCCCGCCTCGCGCCGCCCGGCAGCCCGCGGCCGGGCCTGCGCGACCCTCGCGCGATTGTTCCGCGGGGTGTGTAGGCTTGGGCTTGCCCATGGAGGCAACCACCGTTTTCGATCTCGTCGAAGAAGAGGATTTGTTGTTCTTGAAATCGGAGTGAAGGAAGCACCGAAGCGAAACTTTAAAAGGAATCCTGCTTTCCCCGAGCTGAGGGCGATGCGACTCGGGCCGCCCGGCGCCGCTGCCGCCCGCCGGGCTTCGCCCTTCGCGGCAGTCCGGAACTTGTTCTGATCCTCGGCCCCCCATCGAATCCCCGCCCTACACTCCTCTGCTCCTTGGATATGTTTCATCGCAGACCTGGATATTTTTTTCATATCGTGAAACTACGAGGAAAATAACTGCCGGGATTCCTTCTGCTCCCCCTGATTCTCCCTCCCCACGGACATGCCTTCAGTTTGGGGGGCCGAGGCACCCCCTCCTAGGCGAATGAAGCCCCCCAGTCGCGAGGGAGCGAAATGAAGGGAATTTCTGCAGCGGAATGAAAGCTCTGCAGCTAGGTCCTCTCATCTGCCATTTGTCCTTTCAAACTGCATTGTAATACGGGCAGGATAAGTCAGACGGGAGAAGACCAGCCTCCCTGCCGGATTTGTCTGCCCGTATTTACTTTCCATATATATATATATTTTCCCCCTCCTGCTTCTTGACTGGTCCAGGGATGACTTCCTCGCTGCAGCGGCCCTGGCGGGTGCCCTGGCTACCGTGGGCCATCCTGCTGGTCAGCACTGCGGCCGGTGAGTAGCCCCGGGTAGCGCGTCCCGGCCACTTGCCCAGCGGTGGCGAGGGAGGGAGCCCTCGGAGGCCCAGGCCTGCGCTCGCCCTTCGCGACACGTCCCCTTGGGTCACTGTGGAGGGGATCTGCTGCCGGGTACCTGCCAGCGAAATCGGCTTTAGTGTGTTCGTGTAGTTTCATATCCTCACTCCCATATACCCAACCCCATCCCCCTCCATTGGGGGGGGGGAAAGACATGTTGGGTGTGGTATCTTGACATTTTTAGCTGTGAGGTAATGCAAGGAATAAAAATAATATTTTAATCACCAGTGAACAGTGTCTATTAGGAGATCTTTGGAAACAGAGCAGTAGTCCCCCCCCACACACACACAACAAAAAGAAGCGGATTTGGCTTATAGTAAAAAGAACATCAACTAAACACATACTTGCATTTATTTTTAGATTTCCACCACTCTTTGGGAATGCATGTTACTTTTCATTATTGAAAAATGTTACTGAATTAATAGAATTAATGTTGAGGAAGCCAGACTGGGATTCTTGATACACTCTATAATACTATTTATTACTGTTACCATTTGTATTAATTTGCTACCAAATAATTGTTCTAGCAATTATATCTCCATCTTTTTAACTTGGACACACTCATTTAATGTGCTTCTGGAATTACTGTTGAGCATTAAGTATTTTGATCACTTTTATTGGTCACCTGTCATCTATTGACTTCCCTGTCATTGAGACAACTTTAACTTCACGTCACACTTCTAGGAGATTTGACTCCTGAAAGGACTTTGACATTTTACTGAAATGTAAAAGGAAACAGTCATCCTTTTCTTTGGCTATTTCTTTTTAAATTCTCAGCCACCTTAAGAAAAAAGTCCATGTTCACAATGCAACTGCATTTTTCAAGCAGTCTTTTGTTGATTTGCTTTTAGACATTTTCAGGAGTGAATTGTACATATAATTCTTAAATTTGACAAAGAATAGCCACATGGATTATGCATTTAAAAACAAATGAAGGACAAGAGTGTTGGCTTTCCAATTACTTTTTTTTTTTTTTTTTTTTTACAAATGTGTAGTTTTCACATTGAATAAATTTCTCATTGCTTTGTTAGAGAGGTTATAAAAATCTGTTTTGGGAAAATACTGAAAGAAAATTTAAAGTTTTCTACTGTGCTTTTCGTATTACTGATTCATGTCCATTGTTAATTATGGTAAGTTAATTAGGGTCTGTATTTTATATTAAAATCATGAGCTTCTGAATCGAATATGTTTTGACACTGATTTTAATATTTTTAGTCATTGCAATTATTTTTCAAGTAAAAATGAACACTTTTTTCTCTAAATTTGTTATTTAGCTCTTTAAATTCTCTAGCCACAAGCCATGTGGTTCTTGTAAAATAAGAAGAATAAAAAAGGCCTTAAGCTAACCAGTCATTCTTTGAGCAGAAATTTCAGAATATTTTTGTTCTTTTTTATTCTTTACCCTTTTGAAATGTATATTCCCTTTTATAGTGACATGCTTATCATTTTATGATCAGAACTGACAAAAACAAGAGAAGAAAACATTGTTTTTAAAATAAACCATTTGTATTTGGCAAAATGAATCTTCTTAGATTAGTGTCCCTTTAAAGGGGATAAATTAATAAAAATGGTGTTAATCCTTTTTTCTTTAGTATTACCTAGCACCTGATGACAGTGCTAGGAAACTGGGTTTCAGAGCTGTAACAATAATAATAGCTAGTATTTATTGAGTGCTTTCTGTGCACCAGCACATTTTCAAATAGCTTTACTTTTTTTTTTTTTTTTTTAATATCCTCTTGACAATTCTGTACTGCAGGTTATTATTCCCTTTTTAGAGAGGGAGAGAAAAGTACAGATAATTTAAATAACTAATTACACAGTCAGGAAATTATGGAGACAGGATTATAGCCTGCACTCTTACCCACCACATTAAGTCTAACAACAGCAACAGAGGCAACAACAACTTCTCAGTCTAACTGGAACATGAAGATAGAGTAATGTTTCACCTTTTTCACCTTTGAAAAGTAGTGGGGACATTACAGAGAATAATAGAGTAGGCACTGGTTATGCAGATGTCATGGTTCTAAATGTATAAAACTTTGCCTGATATTGGGGTGGCTAGTGCAGTTTTATTATTTTAAGCTCAAGGTGACCAGAATGGGTTTGGGATATATGGATGTCATGATGTAATTGGACAGATGCACATAATTCACCTGAATAGGAAAAAAAAATGTACTGGAATACAGAGCACATCCTTCTTTGGGAACATGGATAAATTATTTTTGAATTCCTCTTTCCTACTTACTCTATCTTCTTGGACTCCTTAATTCTTAAAATAGTTGGTTTACAGAAAATTAGGATTTATGAAAAAGTAAGATGTACTTTGTTTATAAATGACTTAATTGTAACAAAATACAAGTGTTTAAGTGTCAGCTTCTGTAATGCATTTGAAATAATTCTCTTGACTAGATTTCAATTACATACATCTCCTTTGGGAGCACACATTGTTTCAAGTGAGTCATCTATTTACTTAGTATTGTTGAGCAGTTATTGAATATTGTTGAGTAACTGGAAGTTTAGTAATCTTAATTTCAATGTTTCTAGAAATGTGGACACTGCAACAGAATCAGGCATGATTGAAAAAGTGATCTTTTTAGTCCTGTAGTCTAGTTGTTCTGAATGAATCTCTCTGGGACATTTATTTATTTATTTAAAAATTAATCTCCAGAGAGTATCAGGTAAATTTGAGAATGAGTGCTTTATATCATCAGTTCTGATTAGATTTTTTAAATATGGTGATTCAGTCACCTCTTGCTGCATAATAATTTGCAATCACAAAATCTTAGTGGTGTGCAACAGTAAGCATTTCTTCTGCTCCACTTCTCTCATTATGGAGCCCATGCTGGAGGCAGGGTAACATCTACCTGGAAACAGCTTGTTATCAGTGCTGTGGCAGAAGTTCAAGAGAGCAAGCCCAACCCACCAGCACTTTTCCAGACTCTGGTTCTCTAACATCTCATTGGCTAACTAAGTCTTACTGCCAAGCTCCAGACAAGGGAGGAGTTGGGAGGTGTAGAAGTACATTTTTGCCTCTAGTTCCATTGCACAGGAATGAAGATTAAAACTTTCAATCTACCATTTGAGATGAGGAAGTGGTAGATTGAAGGGAGGAGGCTTTCCTTAACATTTGAATGGAGCTAAGCTCTTAAATAGGCTTTTGCATTAAAATAACACCAGGTTTGGTCTCTACAAAAGCTGTCTTGGAATGTGGTATGCAGTATTGATGTTGGTGTGTCTATGAAATGTGTGGAAAGAGATGTCTGTGACAAAGAAAGACATTGTTTTTTTTTTCATTAAAATGTGTGTGTGTGTGTGTGTGTGTGTGTGTGTGTGTGTATGTATATATATATATATATATATTTTTTTTTTTTTTTTTTTTTTCCTTCCCCACCCTCCCTGCTTGGGGTACAACTCAGGGCTTTGCCCTAGCATGCAATTACTTTACTACTGAGCTACATCCTCAGCCAAAGGCCAACTTTTTAATAGTAAAGGAGAAGAGCCTTCATGTTATTGTTTTTATGTATTTATCTTGTCCTCTCAATTAGTAATTGTTTCTAGAGGATAGGTTTCATGTCATTTTGGCGAAGGAGTGCTGGGAATCCAACCCAGGGCCTCTGGCACTCTATCATTGAGCCACCCCCTAGTGCTCATATCTTAAATTGTTTTGTATTGTTCCATATGGCTGTACACATAAGAGATGCTTAAGAAATACTTGGTGAATGAGTTATAAAAAGCAATTAGAGCTTATCGACTCAAAATATTAGTAACTTATTCTTTCTTTGACCTAGTTTCTTCAACTGTAGAGCAGTTTAAGAGGCATAGTGGGAAGACCACTGTCCTTAGTTAAGGCCTGGATTCTGACACACCTAACATAGTTCATTTAGTTCTAATTTTATGGGTTTGGACCACATCATGTTTCAAAATGCAAATTCCTGGATACCACTTTAAGTCTTAGTGAATCCAAGTACCTGGACATTAAAACCTAAGAATCCATATCTATGTACTCTTGAGAACTGGATCTAATTTTATTTCTAATTCTCAGCTTCTACAACTTAATTAATTATTTTTTGGTATTGGGGATTTAACCCAGGGATACTTTACCACTGAGCTACATCCCCAGCCCTTTTTGTTTTTTATTTTAAGACAGGGTCTCACTATGTTGCTTAGATCCTCACTAAGTTGCTGAGGCTGGCCTTGAACTTGAGATCCTCTTGTCTGAGTCTCATGAGTTGTTGGGATTATGGGCCTGGGCCACTGTGCCCAGCTATTTTTATTCTTACTTTTTGCGATAATTATACCTTATTCTGGAGCTTTTAGTCACCATCAATACCAAATATTTCTTATTTGTATTTTAAGCAACTTCCTTTTTCTTTTTACCATTTGCAGTGTTTCTCTTGCCTTTTTTTTTTTTTGGTCTTAGGGTGTTATATTACTTAATGAAAAAGGCTTTATTGACCCAGTATTTATGTATGCTAATTTAGCTCATATTTTTATGTTGGTCATTTTATTTTCTTTATACTTCTGTCAAAAGGAGAAATTACTTATTAGTAGAAAGAAGAGTTTTAGTAAATTTGGATGAGAATTATTGATGAGGTATAAAGGGATTAGTGTTAAACTTAATTAGACTAGACAATTTTGTTTTGATTTTAGTTACAAATTAATATTCAGTTGAGCCTTTTCCGGGTGAATAAACTGCATATAATATTTGATCAATGTGTACTAGAAAAAAATAAATGTGGGTGCTGTGATATCTAGGATTTCATGATTTTTTTTTTTTTTTGGTACCAGGGATTGAACTCAGGGGCACTCAATCACTGAGCCACATCCCTAGCCCTTTTTGTATTTTATTAAAGACAGGGTCTCACTGAGTTGCTTAGCACTTTGCTAAATTGCTGAGGCTTACTTTGAACTCGCAATCCT